CTCCCTACAGGAAGCCACGACCACGGGTCACGGGAGGGAAAATGGGTGCGGATCCTGTTCGTCACCCGATCCGGCATTGGCAAACGGAAGCAAAATTTTGCGAACGGTGCTGTTCGTGACCCAAATTGGTCGCGAACAGAAGCATCCGTGACCCGAGGTACCACTGTAATTCCATAATCCTCATTAGGGCAATGCTTTCATTAGGCCACTGAGCCTAGCGTTTTTTCTTCAAATTTATATCCCGCCTATACTTCAGCATTTCAGTGTGGTATACATAAATCTCTGTATTTTTCCTGACAGCAAGCTAGGGTGTGCTAGTAATAAAAATTACTAGAGAAGATGCTACCAAAGTCCTGATGTTTTGCTGGTGAACTGCTGTGGCTGAGGGAGGACTTAAATTTGGTGTGAGTCTATGGTAGTAAAAAAATCAGAAGTTGGGTAGCACCTTTTCCACCTAACATTTTTAATTGAAAGGCACAAGGCGTGGTAACTGCAGCTTGCCTCATCAGATGCATGGGGTGGCTAGACTGATCTAGGCTTTAAATTGGGGTGAGGTGAGGGGAAGACAGGTTGATTTTACAAATGCAGGATATACGTGAGACAGATTGCCAGTAACTTATCGATTAATTGTCTTAGCTGAGAGCTAAGATTGCCTGAAACGATTTGATATATTCGGAAGGTTTTGTGTTCAGCAGCCTCTCAGGTACAGGTAGACTTAAAGCCCTGTTTTTCCAAAATGCTATAGAGTGCCTGGGAGGTTGAAATACTCTGACGTTACTTTGTCCTTGTTTTGAGCCCAGATGTCAAATTTGTTCCCATTAATTCTTTAGTACAAAGTTTGTCCCATTTGTCCTATGGAGCATCCAGAGAGCCATTGCTGGAGATGATGGCATATGTCATGCTGGAGGAAAAGCAGGTGAAGGCACTTCTAATCTTGTGTGTATACTTGTTGGGGAATGTGATGTTGCTGTTGGTAGAGATGTGGGGGCAAAGTAGACTGTTCACACTTGTAAATACTTTGCAGTGAAAAGTTTTATATGAATACTTTAAGTAACTACATTCACTAGGATGTACTTAAATATGTATTTAAGTATATAAGCACGTACATAATACATCAGACAAGTTCAGTGGAGTTGCTTTTCTGTGGCTTTATCTTACCTGCTGAACAGCTGATGAACTCAAAAGCAGACTTTTTATATCTGTGATCTTGATGCTGCCCAAATGTGGATTATACAATGAAGAAAAATCCCAAAGTTCTGCATGGCGACTTTGAACTTTCTGTTTTGTTTTTGCATTTTATCTTAAGACTTCAGGGGGTGCTGTCTGCCCACTTTTTGCTCAGATGCAAAGGGCATTTAAATCAAACAGTTCACTGTTTCACATGCTTTTTCCTTGTCATTAGAATGGGGGATGTAATAGTTTATAGATCACAAACATAATTTTATGTTTTTACTTTCTATTAGTGGGAGGAGGACACCCATTTGCCACTTGTCCTTTAAAATGCAGACTGAAAGCTATTCTGGGGTTCAATGAATAATTCAAAGCTATTCTATCTCTTGGGAAGAGTTATCTTACACAGTCTGTGAACAGCATTCTTAAAGAAGAACCAGACAAACATAGTGTTGCAGTGATGTGATGCAAGTTCTATCCCTTTTCTATGTGTGTTGCAACAATGCATGTACAAAATGGAGGAAGTTTAGGTCAGAACTGCAGAATGCTGTTTTCAATTTGTCCCTCTTTCCAAAATATGCCTCGTCAAGAAAGCCAGTGACCTAGTCAACTTTCCCTATGCTAATGAGTCAAGAACCACACCTTTTGGGGTTACTGGAGGCCTGATGCTTGTGGTATCTCATAAGCCCATACACCAGGAGTTTATTTGCAAGGCTTTATGATATCCCTGGTCATTAGCCCTTCCCCATTGGTCAGCAGGGGGCATGACGTAGCTATAACAGCCTTAGTAATGAGTTTTGCAATAGAGAGGCTTGCTTGTCTGTCACTCCTTCTCTCCAGCTCTTTAACTCAGAGGGATAGGTATGCAAAATCCAGTTGGTTGGGCTTGGTGATCCCATGCACAAGTAGGTGGGGTTTAACTCTGCATGACTGCATAGATTTTGTA